TTTTTTTTTGTTTTATTTTGTAGAAATAGAGGTTCCTGACAAAGTCAAAAAGCCTTGATACAATAAACAAATGTCTGTGATTTTTTTATGCATTTGAAATTTAAAATGGGTCGGTGCCGACCCTAACACGAGAGGAGGGTTAAAAAAGTGCTTATAAAGGATGAACGAGGCAAGTTTTATAAAAAAGTGCATTTAGCTCTCAGAGTAGAAACGTGCTAAAGAACCAGTCAATTTGTGTTTGTGTGTTTCAAGGTAACTGTATTTATACCCATAGGCAAGGTAAATTTGCTTTACAGAAAAATGATAGCATTTGGCATCCCTTCAAAAACACACATACCTAAAAGAACAATATAAACCTCACTGTAGAACATATATAGTAATTTAAACTTTTTAAATCAAAAACAAAAGCAGTTCTTATTTAATTCAGTGACAGCAACAGGGACAAAGCTGTTTTCATAACGCTTTGTCCTGCAGCTTGGAAATAGAAACCTCCGTCCTGTGGAAAGAAGCTGAAATTCAACCCTTAGAGGATGGGGGCCATATTTAAGGATTGTTAAAGCCATCCTCTGTACCTGTTTGGAGTACAGGGAGGCTAAAAAACACTGTGGCTCACAAGACACGGGTGGTTTGTCATGAAAGAAGCTACAACAACGGCTCTGCTGGGTCTCAGTTACACTTTTATTTAATTTTTTATCTTTAAAATGTAAAAAAAAATGTTTCAGTGTTTGCTACAGGCAGTGCTGTTCACTGACTTTGTAACAGCAAAAGTTGGCAGTTGCTGCTGTTTTGACTGTTGATGGTGATTACTCTCTAAGGATGGATGTGGTAGGCACACAGTTGGTGATTACATTTGCCCTCCCCCCTTTCCAGTATGTGGCAGTGACATTAGCAGAACAGGAAGCCTCTCCAGACAGCACATAGAGCATGACAGGGCTCATTGATCTCTCACAGCTATGATGATTGTATCTCTCTTCTTTCTCCTCATCCTCAAAGGTAAGTTTCACTATTTCTGTACAATGCATGCAGCTTATCATTTAATTCAATTAAGAAACACTGTTTTTGCTTTGACCAGTAAAATCTTTTTCAGTGTAAGACAATGGCTTATGTTAGCATCTAGTAGCTACCAGCTGACAACCGTTAATTAAATGCTTCAATTTACTAAATCTGTTGTGTTGTGAGCTTCATTCTTTAACACAATTTTAACTGGTTATTAGGAGGATCGGGACAACATAATGATGAGGTGGTAACATTTAGATACTCAGCTTTACCAAGAAAGTTTTATTCTTTTCTTTTTTTCTCCTTAGAAACATTTATTTAGTTTGAATAGAAGCTCTCCTGCTTAATCTGCTTGATATGAAACTCATATATAAAACCTACTGTCCAAATAATCTTCCTACTTTTCTCAAACAATTATAAAACACAAAAAACATTGTGGAAAAAATTAAAACTAATTAAAAACCACCTGGCCATGGTTGAAGAACCCAGAAACTGAGAAGGAGATCACAAAACACGTTATTTCAGTCTTTATTATCACAAAAAGAAAACAGGAGAATCTGTGACTGGAGATGAGCTGGGACGGTGCAGGCTGGACTGAACACTTGGGTTGGTACAGAGGAACATTTGGAGTTAATCTTTGCAGTAATTGGAAACCAGAAGTGAGACTCAGGGAAGCCAAGCAAGGATTTATCGATGTTGCCAGGTCTCATATTGTTTGAAACCTAGCCAAAAGTATGTATTTTGTTACATTCTTGCATGTTTTCCCCCATTTGTACCTTCTTGGTTTTTTTGTGAGCCCTTTTGTGTATATCCTTTGCACATTTAGGCATTTCGGGCCTATCCAGCATTTTTTAATTACCACCATTTAGCTGACAGCTGAACTGTTCTCTTTACTTGAGTCTCCAGTACATCCAGCTGCACATCCGATGGTGCAATGTAAAACTAAACTTCAGTCTTTGTCTGACGGTTTTGGGTGCCAAGTGAGCTTTAGCAACAGCTTATGGTCAGACAGTGATTAGTACAGAAGCTTTATAATAGAAATAGGAGATAATAGGAGAGAGGAAATGCTGAGTGGAATAGAGTCTAGCTCTTCTACGGCTGAGTTGTTTCAGAACCAAGCTATGAGCAGAGGTCAGATTAACTAACTTTTAAATAAATAAACAAAAGTCAGCTCACCACTGCTGAATACAAATAGATCCACATAACACCAAATTTCTACCATTCATCGTGTAACTGGTATGCCCACTGGAGGGCAGGCTCATGTTGCTATTCCAGTCTGGATCCAGCTCAGGCATGCAAAAACACTGCGGGAACATTAAGAGAGTAAATCTTGAGGTGATTTTTTTTTAACATTTAATAGCCCATACCTCTTGTGAAGATTATCTGTGGAAATTTAAAATAAATAGTGTTAAAAGATGACATAATATATACTGCAACACAGTAGTTGTTAAAAAAAAAACAGGGGTACTATTTTCTTTCAGGTGGAAATACCTCCACTTTAGAGCTACAAGATGATGCTCAACTGATGCCCAATGAGACCATGACCAGAGGTAAGTAAAAGTAACTTTGAGTTCACAGAAGTTATAGATGTGTGCATTTATATTTTTCTCTTGTAGGCTGATCACCCGCAGGAGGCACCATATAGGTCAGGTGCAATAAGTGTTCAGTGGCAGTGCAGGGCACTTGCTTGTTGTTAGTTCCTGGAACATGAAACATCAGCACTCTTGTGAGAAAGGAGCCTGACCTAACGAAAAGGTTGAGAGACGGTGACTAGATATAGTCAGGCTCACCTCAGTACACAACTTCGGCTCTGGGAGCAATCTGGAGCTGTCTAGTTTATGTTTCCAATGTGGAGTCGCCCTTGGTGAGAGGTATGTTTGTTTGCTGCCAGTATGTTGGGGTTTTCCCCAGGGGTTATGGAATAACCAAAGTTAGTCAGAGGACTAACCAAGAAGACTAACTTACTCTATGGACTAACCATAGTTGGTCCATAGACTAGTCCAATGTTTCCCAACCACGGTGCCGCGGTACAGAGGTGTGCCAAGAGAAATGATCAGGTTTGCTGTGGAAGATTATCTGGTTTCGCCTGATTGGTACTCTAAGCGACCGGCATGAGTAACGGGCAGAACAATTACATTCTCTTCCTCTAGAGGGCAGTATAACGTCTTGCTCCAATTAAATGGGTTGCCAACTTACAGTAAAACGGAAAAAGACAAGGTAGAAATTACATAATAGTCATTCTGTGAGTGAGATGACAGCGCGTAATATCAGTAGATAAATATTTGAAAAGAAAAAGTAGTCAGTCTGACCTGGGTCCTGGAGATAATTCCGACCCAGATGAAGGTCCTAGCATGGGTAGTGGTTTGAAGAAAGCAAAAAAGATATACTGGGGACAAGCCAAGCTAATTCCACTATACCTGGTGCAAGTGGAAAAATTATCAATATGCTTTTTGTAACATTTTTGTTTGGTGGGGTGCCGTGTGATTTTTCTAATGCGAAATATGTGCCGTGGCTCCAAAAGTGTAGGAAACACTGGACTAGTCCATATTTACCTTATGGACTAACTAAACCATAGTTAGTCCACCTATGAATATGAGGTTACCCTATTAGGACTAACCTATCAGATCAACTTAGTCTATGGACTAAACATGTTTGAGCATAAGGGTGTTCATAAGTTCACAGGTTGCTGATTGATTTAGTAATAATGTCATCAGTCCAGCAACCACATTTCTTGGACTTGGTTAGAGAGACAAGCTGAGCTGTCAAACAGTCACCACCTGGTGTTCAGTTGGATCAGGTGGGGAAGGATGCAGGAGACTCCAAAACTTATTATGAGGGTCACAAGACCCCAAGACTCACAACACTTTGATCTCAATCCAACAGAGACATCGTCTGTGATTGGACAATGTTCACAATTCCATTGCTGAAGCAGCTGTAAGAAGCTGCAGCTGTAAGATGGTACTAATAGCAGGCGGACGGGGGGCAGCTCTGACAGTAGCTGTGGGGGGAATATGGTGAGGCCATGAAACAAGACTTTTGTTCAGCCTCAACGCAATTTAATTATTATGCCAGGGTTTCGTTGTGTATAGTATGGAGTTCCTGATATTAATTTTAATATTAATAAGAAATAGATTATTAATGAACCCTTTCTGAATGTCTGTATAGATCTTTATATTTCAAATAATGTAATTACAGGGAGTGCAGAATTATTAGGCAAGTTGCATTTTTGAGGAATAATTTTATTATTGAACAACAACCATGTTCTCAATGAACCCAAAAAACTCATTAATATCAAAGCTGAATGTTTGGAAGTAGTTTTTAGTTTGTTTTTAGTTTTAGCTATTTTAGGGGGATATCTGTGTGTGCAGGTGACTATTACTGTGCATAATTATTAGGCAACTTAACAAAAAACAAATATATACCCATTTCAATATTTATTTTTACCAGTGAAACCAATATAACATCTCCACATTCACAAATATACATTTCTGACATTCAAAAACAAAACAAAAACAAATCAGTCGACCAATATAGCCACCTTTCTTTGCAAGGACACTCAAAAGCCTGCCATCCATGGATTCTGTCAGTGTTTTGATCTGTTCACCATCAACATTGCGTGCAGCAGCAACCACAGCCTCCCAGACACTGTTCAGAGAGGTGTACTGTTTTCCCTCCTTGTAAATCTCACATTTGATGATGGACCACAGGTTCTCAATGGGGTTCAGATCAGGTGAACAAGGAGGCCATGTCATTAGTTTTTCTTCTTTTATACCCTTTCTTGCAGCCACGCTGTGGAGTACTTGGACGCGTGTGATGGAGCATTGTCCTGCATGAAAATCATGTTTTTCTTGAAGGATGCAGACTTCTTCCTGTACCACTGCTTGAAGAAGGTGTCTTCCAGAAACTGGCAGTAGGACTGGGAGTTGAGCTTGACTCCATCCTCAACCCGAAAAGGCCCCACAAGCTCATCTTTGATGATACCAGCCCAAACCAGTACTCCACCTCCACCTTGCTGGCGTCTGAGTCGGACTGGAGCTCTCTGCCCTTTACCAATCCAGCCACGGGCCCATCCATCTGGCCCATCAAGACTCACTCTCATTTCATCAGTCCATAAAACCTTAGAAAAACCAGTCTTGAGATATTTCTTGGCCCAGTCTTGACGTTTCAGCTTGTGTGTCTTGTTCAGTGGTGGTCGTCTTTCAGCCTTTCTTACCTTGGCCATGTCTCTGAGTATTGCACACCTTGTGCTTTTGGGCACTCCAGTGATGTTGCAGCTCTGAAATATGGCCAAACTGGTGGCAAGTGGCATCTTGGCAGCTGCACGCTTGACTTTTCTCAGTTCATGGGCAGTTATTTTGGCCTTGGTTTTTCCACACGCTTCTTGCGACCCTGTTGACTATTTTGAATGAAACGCTTGATTGTTCGATGATCACGCTTCAGAAGCTTTGCAATTTTGAGACTGCTGCATCCCTCTGCAAGATATCTCACTATTTTTGACTTTTCTGAGCCTGTCAAGTCCTTCTTTTGACCCATTTTGCCAAAGGAAAGGACGTTGCCTAATAATTATGCACACCTGATATAGGGTGTTGATGTCATTAGACCACACCCCTTCTCATTACAGAGATGCACATCACCTAATATGCTTAATTGGTAGTAGGCTTTCGAGCCTATACAGCTTGGAGTAAGACAACATGCATGAAGAGGATGATGTGGACAAAATACTCATTTGCCTAATAATTCTGCACTCCCTGTAGAGAACTGATGAGACACATCCTGCAACCCAAGCCTTTTAGTGGCCACAAGAATCAGGATATCGGCTTTCATTTGTGAGTCAGTGCTTTTAATAGATTGATAAAAGGTTTCTGAAGCAGTCAATATCTACCCACAGAGATTACTGTGTTTGTCATGTTTAATACGACGTATGTTCAGCAGATCTGAAGAGAACATATATCAATTTTAAAGCCTGGATAATCACCAGGACACTGCAGTTCTTATTGAAAAGCATAATTGAGTGTGTTCAAGTTTCCATTTTTTTTATGCATTCCTCTCATTGCCTCACTAATACAAAATCTAATCTCATTTCAGATAAAAAAGTAGAAATTGATGAACTTTGCATTTTCCTGGCTGTTGCAAACCACCTGAACTTGACTAAAGACAATAATAAGTACACCATGAGCCGGCCCGTTAGACACCACACTCACCCTTTGACAGTAGTGCTTGAAATGAAAATCTATGCCATCTTAGATATGGTAAGTTGTACTTCTTTAGAGTTTTTTTAAATGATTTTTTTTTTCTTTAATTAACGTATTAATTTGACAAATGACATTTATTAAAAATAAATGTTGTGTGTGTATTTTCCATGCAGCCATTTAACAGTTAAATGGGCAGCCGGAAAGCTTTGCATACACATTGTATTATATTTGGGACCACTGCGGTACAATTAAAAGAAAAGTATTTTCATAAGCAATAACTTAGATTTGTATGTATATTGTATTTTATTAAGCTTGACTTGTGACTTGTGACTTCTTTGTTGACAGAGGGAAATTGACCAGACTTTAATTTCTTACATTTGGGTTTCTTTGGTCAGTATTCTCTTCTTTTAAAATACACAATATTTTACTGAAATGTGGAAATTCAAATTATTTATTTGAAAACGTGTCTATTTGCCCTCTCTTTCTGTATTTCTCCTCTTATATATCTGGTACATCTTCATGGGTAGAAATGGAAAAATGAGTACATTTGGTGGGACCCATATCAGTTCTGTGGACTTAAATACATAACTGTCCCTACCGGATATTTGTGGATACCAGACATAACAATTGAAGAGATGTAAGTGTAATATATTTGCACATGCACTCACACTGACAGATCCACATGCAGTAATGAGAGAACATTCATTTATTTTTAAAAATGTCAACTTGTATAAAACATAAAATAATACACTACTGCTCCAAATTCAAAAAAGCCTATCCATTTATTCATTAAGGTGCATACTGAATCTAGAATATGGACAATACCAGATTGTATAAAAACCATTATTTGAAATATTTATTTGGTCCAAACTAATAGCTTGTGTCTTATGTAGATATGCTTAAGCCTGTTCTTTGGCCTACTTGCATGCTGTACGTGCAAACTGACAAAAATAACAACTTTTCAAAATGGTATATGTTACCCTGACACCTCTTTCGGCAATTCATTTAGCCTATATTTTAAAGTGATTAACTCACAACTCCTTATCCAGATCTAAGAACCAGTCAGTGACACCCTGGCAACCAGAAAAAAAATTGTGTATTGTTCTATTGATCTAGTTTGTGTTTGTTGGGTTTTTTATTACATCTTTCGATTTGCCTCCTGGAGCTTTACATTGTAAACTGCATCTCACACCACAATGTTACTTGTTCTTCATGGTCTGTAAAATGGTAAACTACAAGTGATCTCATTTGTCCCATATTTGCTTTCTTACAGGACAGAGAAGGACAAAGCTACTCCGAGTCCCTATCTCAGCATTAGCTCAGCTGGCTGGGTTGAATTCAGAAATGACCAGGTTGTGCTAAGCACCTGCAAAATGCACGTTTACAAATTTCCCTTCGATATTCAGAGCTGCAACCTTTCGTTCAAGTCTATCCTGCACACTGGTGAGTCCATAACATGTTTTGTTTAGGTGAACTCACACCATCAGATATCATATAGGTACAATATACATTATATACAACATATTTCTTCATGTTTGAGTTGGTCACAGTTATTTTTATATTCATTTCAGATGAAGATATACAGTTACACTACCAGGAAAACAACACTTTGATCACACGGTTGTCTCGGGAAGTGATGCACACACAGTACGAGTGGCTGTTCATCAACATGATAGTCACCAACAAAACCAACCGCTTGAACTTCAACCAAACTTCTGTTGTTTATACTGTAAGTATTTTTTCAAGCAGAGACACATCAATGGAAACTGTCCCGTTTGCCTATGTTACAGGCCTTCAACTGGGTCTGTTTTACACAGAAAAATTAGCTCAAATACATCTCATAGTTCCAACTAAAAACCAGTGCATTTGGTATGTAGGCTCTTCTTCATCTGTTTAAGAATTTTACACCATCCTTTTCTGTTTATTTACACATTCTTCTATATTTTCTTGATAGATTTGTCTTGTAGCAAAAACCACAGGTTCACATCTTAACCCTACTTGCTGACCTTATTTTTTTATGCATCAATATACAATTATAATCACCTTATATCTATCACGATTTGTGAGGGCAGATCATGTGGAGAGAATGAGGTGTGGACCAAAGCGCAGACAAGCAGAGATGGAGGTGGATTTTTTTTTTTAAAAGCAAGTCTTTATTGTCGGCTGCACAAAACACTGCAAAACAAAAGGCCACGGGGAGCTGAGATAAACTAAGAAAAACCTAAACTGGAAAAGCTAAACATGAAACTTCAAACACAAAACCTGAAATATAGAACTAGAAAAACCTGAAACGTGGAAACACGGAGGGAAGAATAGCAGACAAAATGCAGAGGAAATGCAGAGGGAGATACACAGAGGAGGAGGAACAAAAGACAACATAGACCATGTATACACACAGAGGGTAATGAGGAAATAGGAAAGAGGAAATACACGAACATAGAAACAAGGATGACTAGAAGTAACGCAGAGGACACAAGGAAGGCACAGAAACAAAAGCTAAAGACTAGAAATCAGCGAAACACTAAAGGATGTTCCCAGGACAGCTGAGAGATCTCTTCAGCATGTCATGAGGCTCCGCCTGGACCCCTCCAAGTAGGCTCTACCCAACAAACTTCACCTAGGAGGCATCAATTAAACACCCTGTTCAGATTCCCAAATCACCCCAACTTGCTCCATTGAGGAGCAAGTTGTTAGTCAGTCTGTTAGTCTGTCTGTAAGGCTGAGCCTAGTAACCCTTCATATGAAGCTCATTTCCCCACACGTACCCAAAATCTTCTTATATCAGTCACCAGAGCTAGTTAACGTAAACGAAGATAAGAACAAAGACCAACAAGTAAATCAACAGCTTCCCCACAAGAAACTTTAAGATGTGGTTGAATGTAGTTTTCAAGTCCACAAAATATAGACTATCCAGTACAAATGGAGGTGTTTCTTTGTCATGAATAACTGATTAACTATCCCTAGATAAATATGGAAAAACTGCTTTTTTGATGTAATTGAATAATTCGGTTCAGATTGAAAGAAACCTGCCTCTCAGTAGTTATTTTAAACATTTAGACACTATAGTATATCATTTAATATGCACAATTTTGTTAAATTTCCCCTTCTGGTAATCTTAACATTCACTACTCTTAGTCTGGTCATGGTAAAACCTTAATCCACAAAGAGCTAGTTTATACAGGGTAAACATGTTACAGTCAAAAATATATGAGGATAACCAATATATCTGATTAACTAATTGAACATAATTTCACAGATTACCATGAAGAGGAGGTCTATCCTGTACATTGTGAATTTCATTCTGCCAGTCCTCTTCTTCTTGTGTCTGGACTTGGCATCATTCCTCATCTCAGATACTGGGGGTGAGAAGCTCAGCTTCAAAGTCACCGTCCTGCTGGCTGTTACAGTGATGCAGCTTATCCTCAATGACATTCTGCCCTGTTCTTCAAACAAGGTTCCACTTATAGGTAAAGAAATGTATTTAACTGCACATAGTTACAGCAGTTGTATATTCATGACACAGTTAATTATAAGGATTTACATATCAGAAGATCATCTGGTCCTGACCAGTAAGTAAAATTAAGTTAATAGAATCTCAGATGAACAGCAACACATGACAAGATCAAACTGTCATTATTTATCTGCTCAACTAGGAAACTAAGCCGGTAGCTTGTAGTCCCCCCTTTAGCAGCCAGAACTTAAAGTAATTGTTTTCTCTCTGACTTTATCAGTCTCTCACATCATTTTGGTGGAATTCTGGCGGATTTACTTACATCATTGCTTTAGTTCATTAATTTATGCATAGTTCTCCTAAGGTCTTGCCAAAGCATTTCAATCAGGTTGAGGTTTTTGACTGGAACATTGTAGCACTGATTCTTTTTCATCCATTCTGTTGTAGAAATGCTTGGGATCATTGTCCTGTTATCATTCAGTTTCAGACAAGATCAAACTGTCAAACAGATAATCTCATATTTGACTCTATAATACTTTGGTATACAGAGGAATCCATGGTGGACTCAAGGACTACAAGGTGCCTTGGTCCTGTAGCTGCAAAACAAGCCTGAATCATCCTTCCTCCACTGTGCTTGACAGTTGACATGAGATGTTTACACTAACATGCTCTGTTTGTTCATTTTCCAAATGTAGTGCTGTGCATTATGTTTAGTATCTCCACTTTGATTATACTGGCCCAAGGACGGTGTTCCAGAAGTCTTGCGGTTTCTTTAGATGCAACAGGCTTTCTCTTGGCAACCATTCTAAGCTTGTTTGGTCTTTTTCTGACTGTACTCCCATGAACTCATGCTAACTGAGGCCTGTGACTGAGTCTGAGATATAATTCTTGGGTGTTTTGGCAGTTTCTCTGAGCGCTACATTGTCTGACCTCGGGATGAATTGGGACATCCACTCCTGGCAACACTGGCAATTATCTTAAATGTTTCCACTTGTAATTAACATTTCTTACTTTAGAAAGTTGGACTTTAAAAAGCTTTTTCCCAGACTGATGGGCAGCAGCAATTGCTTCTTGTCTGAATTTACCCTCAATCAGTCGTGGCAGATGACTGCCCCTCCCTGGTTTCCTCCTGTTACAAAATAAGTTTTTCCTTCCCACTGTCACCGAGTGCTTGCTCATACGGGGTTATCTGATTGTTCGGGTGTCCTCTGTAATATTGTAGGGTATTTACCTTACTTTGCAACGTAGTGCAACATGTCATGCATTATTGTTCATCTGAACCATTTACCTAATTTTAGCACCTGGTAAGAACCACATTACTTTTTATTACCCTCTGTATGTAAAACCTTAGAAGAAACCATGTACTTTCTTTTTACAATGACTGTATATCCACATTAATGACACAGCCTGCTCTCCTCAGCTGTCTACTGCATTGGGATATTTGCTCTGATGCTGCTCAGCCTCCTGGAGACAATTTTGGTGATGCATCTGATTGAGAAAGACTCTGCAGCTCAAGATAATGAGACTAGTAGAGACCAAAGCACAGATGTGAACTGTGGTGACAAATCCAATCCACACAGAAACCTTGAAATTTCAGGTATATTTTGCATGTATAGTTATGGTTTATATACTCAAAGACACATTAATAATGGTTCATTGTACAACTAATTCTTTATATAAATTTAAATTGTGTTGCCTTTATCTTTATGCCTAATATGTTTTTTCCAGATAGTCACTGTGCATCTGTCTGTGATGCACCTGCTGAAGAAATGCAATCGGTGATCAAAGAGGTGAGGATTATATTACACTTTTAAAGGATTTTTAAATTTATTTTTTTTTAAGTGTAAAAAGATCTTAACAGACATTGTGTTTGCATGGAAGAGATTATTCTTAACATTTTTGTATATCTGGAATGATCTCTTTTGTTCCAAATGGAGTGGGAAAAAAACATCTGCAAATATGCACTGCTAGTGTTAATTATCTTTCTCCAAAACCGCTTTCAGGGGAGC